TGTGCATAGGATCGGGCAGCTTGGTCGAAAGGAGACGAAAAGGGATGTACATCTCTCCCCCTCTCTCTCTCTCTCTCTCCTTTTGTGGAGCCTGCACTCTGGAAAATGTTGGGCGACTGGCCGACCCGGAGGGCCCTCCGATCCGTTGGCCTCAGGAACCGAGGAGAACACCTCTCTCGCCGGGGCCGAGCCGGGAGGGGAGAGGGGGTTTGGGGCTGGGCTGCTGAACGGGCGTTCGGAACCCGTGGAACCTTTGTTAGTACTAGATGTTAGTAGCAGATTGAATGAAACATCTCCGGACATTTGGATGGTACAACCCCCACTTCTGCCTTTAGGAGATGGTTTAATGTCGTTTGTGCAAACGACTTCTTATGGGATGAGTGGTGTCATCTACCTTGAAATTACTAGGAGCTAAAAGATGGCTCGTGATCACCAGGACATGTTTGATCCATGTCTGGTCATGTTACCTTCATGTCTGGTCACCTGAAGGTTGAACATCACAGCCTCCAGAGCCCAGCGGAGCCGAGCCCGGTTCCGCTGAGACTGAGCCTTTCCACTGAGACTCTCGGCTCAATCCACCTGACGATCGAAGGAGGGTTTTCCTCTCAGCACTCCATGGCACTGCCATAGTATAGCCGTATGAATTGGGGGGGCTTCATGGGTCAATGCAGGCATATACGGCAGTCCCATGGAGTTTCTGGGTTTTGGTTTCAACTGTATGGGATTCAACCGCCCACCCTGAGGCCCTCACATATTGAAGGTGCACCACCCACCGCCGAGGCCAGTATCGACTGAGTCGGAAAGTGGCCGGGGGCCTTCAGCGTAGCCTTCAGCGCTGGGCGTTCTGGAGCTGGGCCTTCCTGGAAGTGATGTCAAAGCTTCAGAATGTGGTGAAAGCGGGGTGTCCGTGGTTTCCAGCTGATGCTAAGCATCGCAAAGCACGGGGGGCCGTTAGTCTGATGTCTAGGTCCTATTAGATACTCCCGCACGAAAAACGCGCAAAGTGGATCAAGGGTCACTCAGCGTCCAGGGGACGGAACCTGGAGACCCTTTGGGCGCGAAGTGGGAAACCTTGCATTTGGTTTGGGGGTAACGCCAAGTCAGCGGGTATACAAGTTAGTATCAACGCCTTGCAGCGGACATGTGTGGCCAATTGGTAGTAACGGTTGTCCTCGCGTTCGCCGGTCTGAAACTTTTCAGATTCCGCAGTCAGCATGTCAACCCTCGGCCCCTTGTACTGGGATGTTGGCACGGGTTGACGCAGCTGACCACCATGAATGGCTTTTTAAAATAAATGCACCCTTATAGATAGATGACCCAAAAAGGAACATCCTTGACTTCGCTGGTGCAGCATATATCATATGGATGTTGTCTTCCTTTGGACTGAGGCCACTCTGTTCTCTTTGTGAAACCCCCGTCCCATGGCCACGTCTAGTAGACGCCTGGTCGAGGCAGCGGTCCCGAATGTCGGCAGCTGAGACGAGCTGGGGGTACGGAATGGTAAGCTGGGTGGGACTTCTTGAGAGAACTGATGTTGAATGATATGATGCAACCTTCAGTTTCACGGAATAAGTAAAATAACACTATTTGTCACGTGCTCGTTTAAGTCCCCAAAGTCCCACCGAATCTGGTTTTCCTAGGTCCTAGATGGTTTTTCTAGGCATGCTTTGTGGGAACCAAAGCTGAACATAGCAACCTTTCGGCCTCACACTTCGGAATTGCGCGTTGGTGCTGGGCGCCTCAGGCCGGGTGACCTTTCTGCAAAGGAAACGGTGCATGAGTTGCTTCACCAAACTGGTTGAGGTTGAGTGTTTTGTATTTTTTCCTTGTTGGGTGTGGACAACCAAGAGCAAGCCTCACAAGTCGCGGATGTGGGATGTGGGAGACACCTGTCAGCGGCAAAAATAGATGTGACCCCCCTCTCTCCAACAAACATAGAAGTGGACCACAGCCCCTTGGAAGGCAGCTTTGCTCTACTAACATGGGGTGATCCACTTCCACGATTGTTGGAGGGACAGTATGAAGACGGCACCTGAAAATGGTTAAGTTGATATAACCAGAGGCGCTGTTGGCATGACGCTCTTAAAGCTTGGGCAACTACTGAGCTATTGGACTGTTGGACGTGGACCGTGGACAGAGCTCCACTCCCCGGAAGCATCATGGAAAACTACGCATTTGTCGAGGACAATGGTCATCCAAGGGGCCACTTTCCACTTCCATGATCATTCCACGGAGTGTTAACCTCACCTGCTGTTGCTACTGAAGCAACTAAGTAACTATAGGTGAACCTTGGCTTTTGTGCATGCCACCCGGAATCATATCCGGTTTCTCACTTACGCGCGCTGGCGTCCTTTCCCGGCTCGAGCAGGGGCTTAGATCCATCGCGCGCGCGCTGCGGTGGTTGAAGTCCGGGTTCGTTCAGGTCCAGACGAACTTGAGGAGGATCAGGTGATATCAGAGGGCTCAAAAGATGCCAAGGACGCTAAGTTGGCCTTTTCGATGGCTCTCTTGGAGCGCAGGCGTTCCGTCACTGGAAAGAGAAACCTTAGCTCTTCTTCGAAGCCGGCTCTTCTTTCCGCATTGGGGACCAAGTGGTTCTAGGATTTTGGGGGGGGGCTTTCTGGGGCGGAGACTCCCCTTCCTCTCCCGCCCGGCCCACGCCCACGGCGGCCGGAGACGCTCTGCCATGCGGCGATGGCGCTCATCGGCGACTTGGACGTGTGTGACGGAGATGGTGGGCATAGGACATCATAGGACCATCAGGACCGGTGGCTTTCTCGTTTCTGATTGAAAGGAAGGTCATACGGCAGGTCAGAACAATAGGGGGACCCGGGCAAAATGATAAACCTATTATGTTTAACCTTGATTTAACATAACAGACTCTTAGACTAGCAGGGAGGTCAACGACTAGGCAGGGCTTGGAACTCTAGGTTTCGACCCACTCATTCATGTCACCAGCCGTTTTGTGCGTACCTGCCATGCAACCAGCGGCCCAGGCGACTTCAAGAAACAAGTGAATTCATTGGTGGCGCAGAAGGTCGGCGGCAGAGCTGGCGGAGCGGGGAGTTGATCACAAGACGGACGTTGTGGATCCATCGTGGATCCATCATGTCACATCTCCAATTCTGTCCCTAGTAGCGTCCTTGCTACTAGTAACTAGTAGTAAGGCCAGGAGCCCCTAGTAGCTTCTTGTTCCTAGTAGTAAGGCCAGGAACCCCTTGTAGCCTCCAATTCTGTCAGATCACCTGGCAGATCTTCGGAGTCGAAAATCATGAAACCCTTCGCTTCCGCGTCCTCGCGCCTCTCCGCGAGTCTCGCACCACTCGGTGGCGAAGTCGACCAGTGTCCCCAGGCCCATAGGGCCCCTTGTGAGGCCCCTCAGGCCCTTGAGGGTGTCTTCGGTGTCCGGTGCTTCTTGGAGTGAACCTGGTCTTCAAAGACCATTAAAGATCATTTAAGAGATTTATGAAAAGAATGGTTGACCTGGTTTTATTGTTGTGTAGAGCTTTGGGCAGGCTTGGGTGCACATCATCACAACTCCCATGTCATATTTTGGCTCAAGAGCCAAAATTGGACAGGACAATTTCTGTCCCACCCAGGATCCACCTAGGTGACAGGACCCCCCGTGAGGATCGCAAGGAAATGTCAGCCGAGAGCAGGAAAAAGGAGTGCAGTCTCGAGTAGCACTGATTGGGAGATTGGTGATGTAGTAATCTTTGCTAAACAGACCAGTGAAGCACTGGATCTTGGAATCCTAGGGGGTTGATGGATCGCCCGCAGGCGAGTGCCAAGAAGGTCTTGGCCTCGACCATCGGTGCGGCCCAGGCAGTCGAGTTCTCCGACCGAAACGGGGACGGCCACGGAGAGGTGTTTGGACGTAGGAGTTTTTGCCCAAAAACGTGGTCACGTGCCTTAGGGTTGGATTCCTATGACCCTAAACCTGCAAGCCAGGAATGCTCACCCATGGCCCATGAAGTGGGTGAAGTTCAACAGGCTCCCTTTCAGAAAGCCACGGCTCTCGGTTTCTCCTTTGAATGGTCCAGGTCTGTCCGTCACTGCAATGATCCACCGGACAGCAAGGGATGTGGAGCCACCATCGCACGACACCCGCACGACACCAGCAACCTGGCAGCCCGCTTGCTACGCTTCCAGAAAGAACCATGGCATCCCGATCAACCCTGGCATCACCCCCATGGCACTGGACATCACTGGACCTAGCGACTCGACTCGACCCCACACCCATCGGACCCATCGCAGGGCTTCCAGTCCATCCTCCCCAGCCTCGACGGCGGTGGCCGCGGGCTGGGCGCGCGCGCGGCCTCGGAGACGCCGCGACCCAATGAGGAGGTCACCTTACCGGCCCTGAACCTCACACAATCCCAGGTGGGCTGAAAGGGCTAAGATGCTGGAAACTGCCGGAAACTGCTGGGAAGCGGAAGGGGGGAGAAAAGGAGGGGGGGATGGACATCGCAGGGCAAAAAGCGTGATGATCCTTGTGAAACTGTGTGACAGGACCTTGTCTTAGAGTCTCGGCGATGGGAGAGATGTGATGAGACGACCTCATCTGAGGGTGGCGATGCTCAGTGACTCGGGTCGATCAGCTGCAGATCCGTCCCAGGCATCGGAGACGACGCCCTCCTTGGACCAAACGGTGTCGGAGATGGGCTTTGCGGCGAGCAGCCAGCCAGCGGTGACCAGCCAGCCGAGCTGCTCGGTTTCATGACGCCGCGCGCTGAGTTCGATGACTCGAGGCGTCAAGGCACGAGAAAAAGATCGCGAGGCTTCAAGGGTGAGAGATGAAGGTGCATCTTGCTGCCGAAGACCTCCCTCCAATTGGAGTGATGGTTTCGGACCACGTTGCATGAAGACATGTCTCGATGTGCCTGATTTTTTCTTAGAAGGAGTGCGTGTGCGTGAAATGATATGGGTTGGCAGGCTTTTGTTGTTTCATCCAAAACAACCCTATTGGCAACAAACATGGTTTGACGATTTGAGGGAACCAGGCTTGCAATCCTCCGGACATCGAGCTTTTTCCGGGAAACGATGTGTGTTTTCCAGGACACCTAGGCCTAGTCCCAGGCCTATATTCGTTTTAGTAGAGGTTGGCGGAATGGCCTTCTCTCGCGGTCACTTGCGTCACAACATGCACTCTCAAGTCTTAGCCAATCTGTGATACTCTGTGTGGAGGATCGGGGCGCTCGATTGCACAGTGCGAATCCGAGAAACCATCAGAAATGCCAGTCTGGTGCACTCCTCGCTGGAAGTTCCGTTGGACCGTTTCCATATGCCCATGACATGGCTCAACACGTGCAAAACCTAGAGCTGGCATCTACATAGTCTATACATCCAAGAGAGGTTGAGAGACCTTATAGGAGCCTGTAGTGGTACATATGGGATGGGCGAAAAAAGGCCGTTCAACCGTCAACCTCTCTTGGATATGTATACTGGGTTTGCGTCAGATGATTAGACAGGCTGACTCACCAAGCCTACCAAGTCTAAGAGGCTGTAAGGCCTGGAGACCGCCCCACGTATACGATGTGCTTGGATCTGAGGATGGAAGCAGTTGGCGCAGAAGGCCGGGGGCTCATGGTGGCAAAAGCCCGGGTAGGCTCATAGCTTGTGAGAAGGGATTCAGAGGTTTTGGCTATGGGAAGATATACCGGAAGGCAGACTTCTACTTCTGTAGCTTTTCTCCGGTTGGGAAAGATCTTCCCGAAAGGGCTTTTTTCCGTCAGAATCTGAGCCCTTCTCTGACCATCCGAGGCCCCAGGAATCCAAAAACCATTCTCCCATGAAGTGGCAACAGCGTTGGCCGTGGCCTGCGCAGCCCAGGCCAAAGAGGACATGGCGGCCACTCAACCGGCGCTCGGTGTGGAGAATACCGGCGACACCAAGCGCCTGGCCAACCACGCGCGACGCGCGATCAATGCGTTGGCAGCGCGACCAACGGTGGAGCCGGAACTGGAGGAGACGAGTTCCTCCAAAGCACCAGTTGCTGTTGCAAGTGGTTTTCATGTTTGGCCATCGCACTTTACTGGATTTCTTTAGGCATACTTCATGTTTCACACATTCCTGGGGCAGCCCGCAGGCTCCAGAAAAGCTCTCCCCCAAAAACGCTGCACAGCCACAGCTCACTGCCTGCGTTCGCCTGCGTTCGCCTGCGTGGCGCATGCGAAAAGCACGCAGCACCAGGCGCTGTCACCAGGCCGCTGTCACATCCGCTCGCTCCATGCAGGAGAACATCGAGACCTTTGCCAAGTTGCTCGTGGAGACCTTCGGCTCCCTAACCGCCGCCTTCGAGGAATTCGATCACCACGGACGCGAGGAGATCACGAGGGCGCAGTGGGATGCGGCCCTGATGCTTGGACGGGGTGGGCGCGAAGGCCCGAAAACAGAGGAAGCGCAGGGAATTTGGGTTTGACGTGTTTTTTTCTGTTTTTGCGCCCGGATGTGTGTATGTGTGGCAATCGAGTGCCAGAACTTGTGCCATAACGAGTGCCAGTCACTTGTTGTGGGGTGGGTTCAGCATTGAGCACGGCATGGTGCAGCAGCTAAACGGATGTGTCGGACTTCGATGCGGTGTGTTTGGGGTAGAGAGGCGCGAAGGGACAGTTCGGCCTGTCGCGTTGTGCCCTCCAATGGGGGTGATTGGGAAATCTTGGAGTGCTGCCTTTTACCGTGTGTATTATGTCAGTCATATCATGTCTATCCATTTCTTTGATTTGTTACAATTGTTGTCTCTTTCCGTAGTTGTGGTTGCATCTCCTTGATGGTGGCTTCCTCGCCATGAAATTGATGAGGAACGCGAGAGGCTGGGATACACAGGAGATGTTGCTTGGCGGAGATTCATTGGGTAGCCACACTTGGCCTCGGGCTTTGTAGGTCCACTATAGAGACCTTCAAACAACCCTCAACCATCCTTAACCAAACAAGGAATCGATCACTTTGTTCAGATAACATTTGGTGTTCCTCGCGCACGCCACCAGACACACATGTCAAACTGCGGTGGACTCTGGACTGATTACAGTGCCCTTGAAACATCTCACTGAAGCACCGAAGCCTTTCACAGCCCCCCCCCACAGCCGCCCAGATGTGGCATCGCAGCATCTAAGCTGTTCAGCCTCGTCAGCCGGGCCTCTAAGAAGCCTGGAGAAGAATATGTTTTTTCATCGCTCGAGTTCCTTTGCAAACCAATTATGCAATGTAGTGAATTTAGACTGATGAATAAAACATAATAACACCTCCCTAGCTAGCAGAATGGTTTTACATCTCCAGATACGGGAGCCAACGTCTACATGAGTTAGATGGAGTTAAGTTGACAGCCTCCATCCCAAAGAATGTCGAAAGTGGGTCATCACACTGTTGGGAGGACCTGCACACTGGGGTGCACCTGGCCCTGCTCTCGATGCTTCCACCCCACATCCCAGTGACTCAGTGACTTTCACGCCTCGCACCCGTCGCCGGACGGATGCGCCCAGGAAGCCGATTGGCGCGCTGACGCTGCCCGCGTGGAAGTCCTTTTTCAAGAAGCCGCTCCTCCTCAGGGTCGAAAGGGAGAGGGAGGAGGCTCTAATCACGTGGCTCCATGTCGTGAGTGCGAGGCGTTTTCAGGTGCATTGACTTGGGGGTGGGTGGGCTGGATCGGTGAAGTCTTAGTGAGTTAGTTGCATCGAACTGAAGAAAGTGGTCAGTCTTGGACTCCACAGATCTTCCAGCCTTCCAGCGATTCCAACGACTCCATAGCGTCACATAGCAGCTCTATGCAGATGAGCAACCTATGGAAATGGATCGTGGATGAAAGCCGCGCATGAATCGCGCGGCGGGTCACCCCGAGGTATTTGAACCGCACAGCTGCACATCTTCTGGAGGAGGATCGCGTGGACACTGAGACTTAAAAATCATGTTCTGCGCATTTTCTGAGCCGTTTTGATGGATTTGGTCAAACGATGTGAAAACCGGCTGATTCTGAAGTTCACCTCGTTTGACCAAATCCACGGGATCGATCGAAATCCAGCTGTGACCGAGCTGAGGAGATAGACGGTTCCACGAAAGAAGTCCTGGAACATCTAAAGGCACCGAAGCTGGAAGTTCCCAAAGAAGATGCCAAGGCCGCACCGGCGGCCGTGTTTGGCGGTGCGCTGGGGGCTTCCTAGAGATGTTTGAAGGTGCTGGGTCACAACAGAAAAGGTGAAACCTGCGGGTTTCCTTGCCCCTGTAGGCTCTCAAATCGTCCAGGCTGTCGAGAGATGGGTCCAGAGAGATTGGATGTGTGGAAGAGGATGTGTCACAGGTTCTTGGGTCGGCAGCCAATCCATTGGTACAGTTTTGGGTCGGTGAAGTCCAGGTGTTGAGCAGTTGCAAGCTGCAGCTTTTGGACAAGAACCTCTAGACTTTTAGAAAGAGTCTGGACGAAGACCAAAGATGGTTAAACAGCATGGGTGGGGCCCACACCTCGAGGTCCTAGGTGTTGCCAGGTTCTAGATCACCTGTAACAACGGTCCATGTTTGCTGGACCTCACTCTTGCAATATCTCCGCTGGCACTTCGCCCTTCCCGCGCCGGGAGGCTTCCTCAGATGGAATGTTCTACTTTCAACGCCGGAACTGCGTGATTACCCAGCCCCTGCCGGCCACTGGGACTGCAGACTCTTCGAACTGCGGTCGTGGCCTTGTGGCCTGGGGCCGTTTAGTGTGGGGCCGTGGGGCCGTAGACTATCCCTCCCATCCATGCGGTGTCCCGCAGGCTTCATTGGACGTGCAGGTTGTGATGCTGTGTGCCTGGACGCGACAGGAAGGATGAACTGCTCACCCCATCGGGCACCGGATGAATGCACCTTCGAGCATGTGAAGAAGAAGAAGAAGAAGAAGAAGAAGAAGAAGAAGTGGCTCCATTTTCACCTCGGTTTCAACATTGTACTTCTGGTGTGCAAGCCGTGTTGCTTCACTTGTTTTAAACAACGTTGAGACGTTGAGGAAGGTTTTGCTGTCTCCATCCATGTTTCTGCTTCTAGTGGATTTCTTTGATTTCTTTCTATGTGTCGACGTCAGAGAGGGGCCTGGTTTCGAAGATTGCACGGTTGCGCCCTTTTCAGGGGCATGGCCCGGGCATGCCAGGTTGGTTGTTTGTCACAACAATCGTGGCAACCCTCTTGGGCTACTCCCGTGCTCGTCGCGACCTCCCGCGGTTGCTCCGCTTCGCTGGAACACCGACCGCTCTACCCCACTGCGAGCTCAGAGTTCTGCGGTCACACCACTGGCCGGGTGTGGGGAGCACCATGGGAGCTCCATGGCACCAAAATGTGGCTTCCGGACAAGTCGAGGCGTCATAGAGGCCACCCACACGTTGTGTGGATGACAGCAAGACCATGGGCTACTGGTGCTTGCTGGGTGCCTTGTGAGAAGAGAGTCTGCGATCTCGAGAGCTAGGTGGACCTCTGTCATGAGTGCAAGCAGGGGAGGCCGTTCGCAGCTACATTTGCCGCGTGAGGGCGTTCGTGGACAGGAGGGCAACCAGCGCGTGCGTGCCTGGCCATGATCAAGCCGCTTCTACTCATCCCTGCTCTGCAGGTTTTGAGGGTGATGAGCATGTGACAGGATGTGGGGAACATGGGTCACAGCCCTCTAAGTGTACCAGGGAAACCTGGGAGGGCCTGGAGGCACCAAAATTCATGGTCTATCGTCATGTCATCCAGGCTGGGCTCCGCCACCCAATGAATCAAAAGTGATAAGAATGATAAACAAACCTTCGGGATCCTTAGGGGCATTCTGGTGGTTTTAGAGGGTCCAGTCATACCTTCTGAGGAGGTACGACTGGAGCTGAAATGAAAGAAGAACCGTGCTTCTTTTGGATCAGGATGCCCTTCCTGGAGATGGTCTCCACGAGCGGAATGCAGGCTCCAAGGTACGCACCTGGAATGTGGAGTGAGGGAGCACCACTACCGACGGTCACCTCGAAAGGAGCGTTTTTCGGATTTCATGGTGGCCGAACGAGTTCCATGCCGTGCCACGTATGATGCACACTAGAAAGGTGTAAGACCTGAGCGAGAGAATGGCCAAGAGTGAACCCGTGCTCCACTTGGAGGGCCGGTTGCCATGCTAGATGCGTAGCTGGGGCCGTGGTAGCTGGGTTGGTACCGGAGGGTTGCCAAGGCTGCCGCACATGGTGAAGACATGTGAAGACTATGACTATAGATATCTCTTTCTTTTTTATATTATTCTTTATGGATCATTCATCACTTTATGGTTCTTTTTTATTATGACATTAAATCACTAATTGAAAAGGATAGACTGATAGACTACTAAAATACTATGCACATCGAAAGGAAATAATGATTGGCTATTTTTTGTCTGGTCAAAAGAAGAATAATAAGAAGAAGAATCCACTATCTCCATGGCCCTCAGGATGGAGATGATGGCACATCAGATGAAGAAGATGCCGCGCCTTGCCAGACTTGAGTGATTCCTGTTTAGTCACCTTCCCTCAGCAGCACATCCAAGAACCTCCAAGGCCAGCCATGAAAGGACAACATCCTTACTTAGTTGCCTCATCCTGTGTTTTGCTGGCCCAGGGCCGTCGAGCTCCACACTTGGATGCAGAGTCATGACAGCAACTGAGGGGTGCTACAAGCGGCGCGGACCATAAATTCGGGTTTATTCAGGGGGCCGCTATGTGGATTCAATCTCCGGGTGCAACACCACCACCGACTGCTGCAGTTAAGGGGATGAGCTAAGCAGCTACGGTGTGGACCGTCAAAAGACAACAATTCGGGTTTGCCCATCGTCAGAGATGGTCAGCGTTCTGCCACATGAATAGCCTTTCCAGCAGCTAGGCAGCCAGGCGTCAAAGAGCACAAATCCAATGTAACATTGTCCCGGTGTTGGCATGAAACAGGACTGGGGAAATACTTGGTAGTTCAGGGTTTGTCCTTAAAGATTTCCTTTCGAGCTCCTTCCAGGGGTCCATTTCCACAGGGTCGCACAACTTCTTCGCCCAGGACGCCCAGCGCCGCCTGCTCCGGCGAGACGAGGACCACGAGGACCAGGATGAGGACGCGAAGCGTCGGCGGGCAGCTGCGGCGGGCGACTCTGCCGAAGCCGCGAGGCAGAACGAGGCTGACTCCGTTGTTACTAGCGTCCTCGTTCCGTTCGTAGCGATGGCCTACTTGCGATGGCCTCCACAGAGCAGCTCGCATCCGTCCGTAACCAACGGTTGGCCTCGTTCGTCTCGCACGGCTTTTCGCCAGGCCACCGACTCCACCGTCGACCCCGGCTTCGCGCCCTCCGGACCCGGCTTCGGTCGCGCCCCGACGCCGGACCCGGGCGAGGGGGACGAGGGGCTCAAGGGCCTTCGGAAAGCCAGGCGGGTCGGAGGGGGGTGGCTGCTTTTGGGGCATGTGAGTGGCTTAATGACGGTATTTGAGGGAACTGTTGTCAAAGATCGGGGGAAAGGATGGATTTGCACTTAGATGTCAATGATCGAGAATGATCGAGAATGATCGGTGATGGACAAGTTGCATAGACTAGATTTTATGCATTTTCTTAGCACCACTGACCAATTGACCACATCTGTCGACAGAAAAGGGCAGGGTTCCGGACTTTGGTGCAACTTCAGGGCCTAATTGGGTTGTCGAGACATGCAGAAACATGTAGAAACAACAACTCTATGCGGCCATAAGGTGGCGCAAGATAGGCCAGATGGAGATGCGCAGAAAATACACATTTGCAGCTCCCGGAAGGGAGAGAAATGAGCAGCTACAGCTGAGAAGCACCGTCCCTCCGCAGGAGACGGCAGCATACGGCAGCGTCGGTACCCTGCAGGATTAGTCGATCGACCAACGTAACCAATTCGAGGTTGTTATCTAGTCACTTGCTCATTTGCCAGCCAGGCGGGGTGGCTTACATGGTGACACTGGGCAAGAAGACTCTTGGTCCGGTTGGGACGCTTTCTCAGAGGTTGGGTCGAACATCTTGTTGCTCTCACTTTGATCGATAACTGCTGTTGGTATGTACAATTGGGAGAGGTAGAAGCTGAGGGGACCACGTGCAAAGAAAAGACCTCTTGTGGCTCTTGGGCGCATGAGTTCATGAGGGTCTTGGGCGCTTTCTTTTTTTCGCGCCCACCCGTCATGTCACTGTCGTTGAACATCCAGACCCCATAGGGCTTGCGGTGTGCAGCATTCGGATGGACTCCGTTCTGGATGGGTCGAGCCTTCGGGGAGAGCTGCGATCGAGAGTCCTTGAGTTCACCCAGCCTTTTGCTCAGGATGCCGCGAAGGCCAACGGTGCAGATGAGAAAGAGAAGTCCAGGCCAAGTGGATCGTTTTGCTCGTGGCTGGTAAGACAGAGGAATAGACATGAGTAGACTTTTTTCATGACAACAGAATTGGGGAAGTCCTTGGTTTTTATCTTTTGTGTGTGTGTGTGTGTCGAGAGTCCAACCACAAAAAGCCCCTGATGACCCCTTCCTGCGACGTTCGCCGTTCGCTGTTGGCCACGGAGCCATGCGGAGCCCGGAGCACGACGTCAGGTCTACGGCGACGGTCAGGGCCTCAGTGGGGGGAGGACACAGCTGATGAGCGATGAGCGGTACCGCTGTCAGACGGAGCGGCGCCCGGCCGATAGAGTTCTCAGGATAGGTGGATCATGGTGGATCTAAACCATGCAGTCTCAATTCTATTGGTTGGGCCCCCTCAATTTGGTGGGACGCACCAACCGCATCCGACAGCATTCCGACGGCGAGCCACCTCTTTTTGGAAGCGTGAGGAGTTTTGAAGCGAGGTGTGTGGAGGCCCAAATGCTGCATGCTTTCTGTTTTTCAATGCCAGGTTTTAGGTTTTGATGAACAGATGCAGAGGCAAAGACGGGCAAACAAGGGGTCCATTTTCTTTAGATTCTGGTGGTTGTTGAGGGAGGATTCCATCTCAGAACCCCGTGTAATCGTGGTTAGAATATGTTAGAATGCAGAAAGGATGCGGTTGGAGCAGGTTAGGAATATGAAGGCCCTGATGGAGGGTTCTTGCCAGTTCCTGCCCGACCCCTTGAGCGCTTCGTTCGCGCGAGCTGAACGCAGCTCGGCGCTGCGTTCACGCCAGAACGACTTCTCAGCAGAAGATGCCAGACCCCCTCCTGTCTCCTGCGAATGTATGGGACTGCAAGGACAAAAATCACCGATATTCACCTCCGTAGTTTATCCATTCGTCTCCTGTCACGTGGGCTGTTCATGCTGAGGAGGGCACCAGAGGTCCGGGCGCAGATGCCCACGAGACCGCGGGCGGCGGGAGCGCTGCGCGCGGTGGGGCCGATGCAGCGGGAAGCGCTGGTCTTGGGGAGATGGGCAGAAGCACCAAGGAGACAAGTAGCACTGGCACGACGACTACTTCGGCTACAGGCTGAGTTGCTTTTGCTTTGTTTTTTTTCCTATATTTTTGGTGTGTTGCAGGGGGTTGAGTTGTGCGGCCAGCGAGCTGGCGCTACCTACCAAGCACCCGTTTCCGCCTGTTCCGTTCGGTAGCTCAAATAGGTCGAGAGACCCTCGGTGTTCCGACCCGGTGTCGGTTCGCAAGATCAATTTCAAACCGGTTGCGCATTGGTTGGTTGGTGATTCTCGGCGTTTCTGTGGTTCTCACGTTCCTATTTGCCCAGTGGACAGTGATGCCCAATCCTTACGGGCATTCGTGACCGCCGCCAAGCCGCAAAACCATTGGTGATCATCGGCTGGTGGTGATCATGGTCATGGTCACCAATGGTTGATGGGCAACCCATCCTCCGACCTGTCCAAACCCCCTAGACTTCCAAGACCTTTAAAACAATGGTTGACCTGGTTTTTGTAGTCCCAAATCCTTAGTTGATTCGGTAAAGCCTACGTATTAAATTAATGGTGGTTGGAACCCTAGGGAACCGGTTGGTGGTCCCCCCTTTCGAAGGCACATCCATTCCTGCCCTGTACAGGTCGGAGTTCCGGCGACGCCGGTGCCGGGGCGCGGGACCGCCGTGGTCCCGGCTCCGGCGGCGATCTCGGCGCTGGGAGTGCCGGTGGGACCGGCGATCTCGGCGCTGGGAGTGCCCGCGGAGATGACGGGTCACGTGGGACAGAGGATGGGTTGCTCGGCTTGTGGGGGGTCCGTGTAGCTCTTCTTAGCAGGTTGAGGAGGAGCCTGTTTTTTCAACTCTTTTTTCCGGATTTGGTCAGTTGACCAGTGAGAGTCTGATTCTCGAGATGTGTGCACGGCCTGACTCCGCGCTTTTGGACGGATTCCCTTCGACCCAGAAGCATTTCAGAGGGAAGTGTCAGAAAAGAAGAAACAGATCACATCAACCATCATCAACCTGCACTTATAGTGTTATGGACTGTCAATGACCATGGCAAGACCTGTCAACTCAATCAGCTTCCCATCCGATCGGTGGATTCAGGTCTTCTTCGCACGGTGAAGCGCGTGCGAAGACCGACGGAGGGGCCACCGCGCCTGGGTGAAGCAGGTCATGGCGATCGTAGTCGTGGTCGGGACGTTCGCTTCGTCGCGCCCTTGTTCCGTTCGTAGTAAATGCTAGGAGCCCCTTACTCGTAGCGTCCCCTTGCTGCGGACTCGTAGAGATGCCCGAAATGCTCCGGACTCGTAGAGATGGCCCTTTTTGGCAGAGTGTAGAGCTTTCACTTGGGACGACCTAGTGACGAGTTGACAGATGTCGAAAAGTGCACTTTTGTTGGTGCCTGGCAGTAGCTTGTTCCTAAGGAATTAATCCTTTTTGTTTAATATCCTATATGTTCTTCCACTGGGTGATTTTAGGAAGATCCTGAGCATTTCTCCCGCTTGGTTTCATAGTGGGGGCTCTTTGGCAGCGCCTTCCTGCTGCAGGCCTTGTAAACCACCTCACCCCTGGCTATGCCACTCTTGTTCGCGGAGCCCAGGGGGCTGTCTCGCCAGATGCTTTGCGGGATGGAGACGGTCGCGGCGAGCCGAGCATTCCACTGGATGCTTACATAGGACCCGTTTGGGCTCGAAGCTTCGGGTGTTCCACGGGATTCGCAGATGAGTCATAGACGCAGAGGAAACTGGTCAGCCTGACCGGGGAGTCCTGGGAGGCCACTGTGCAGTTCTGACGAGAACGAATTCCTCCGGCGTTTTTTCGAAGGTCTTTTTGATCGTGGAGGCCATGATCATCTGAAGAGGGTTTATGGAGGGCACTGGGCGCTGACTGGCGGTGCCCGGTTTCGTGTTGAGCTGCTCCGAGTTGCTCCTCGTCACCAGGACACGAGGAGCCCAAGGATTCGGCTGTCGACGAGGGTCTGCCGGACGATGCAAAGGTCGAAACGACCGTGGCGACTTGGCAGGCAGGTGTGGGTTTCACCATGGGGTGTGGGTTTCACCCATGGTGGCAAACCCATGGATGATGAAACATGCAAGATTTCATGAACAACTCGTGGTGGGCTGTTGTGATGTTGGGATTTGGAGGGTAAAGGCCGGACACATTCTGTGGCTTTTGAGGTGACGTGTTCGGTGGAGTCCAAATCGGCCCCCTGTGCATGTTAAACCAACACGGTCATAAACATTGAACAACAGAGCACTTGTTGTAAAGGGGTCATACAATCGATGCTTTTTGGAGCAGAAAGGGGCAAACCACACAGTGTGACACAAGCAGACATTCTACCCATTTGGGTGGTAGGCCCTTCCTGCATGCCTTCATCCCTATAGGCCCTATAGTTGCAGGAAAAGCCAATAATTACATTGCACCGTTGGACTTCGAGGCCGTGACCAGCATTGGTCTCCAAACCACCTCGCAGGCTGGGGCATGTTGAAGGGTGTCAGGAACGATTCATGTTCTCATTTGGTTTGAGTATGCTCAAGTCACGGAAAGGGGAGGCTAACTTTGCCATGTGGCTTGGCCCAAGCTAAACGTCCACGGCCAAGTGCTTGGGTCCATTGGTTCCGTATGGTTCCGTTGCTGTTGGAACCAACTCAAAAGTTCGTCTCCCCTGCCCCCCGGGCATTTGTGGCGTTGGTGTGAAACGAGCTCAGCAGCTCCAGATGCACCTGCTCGCCATTTGGGGCACCGCAAGAAACCTCCCAAGATGAACTATGCCCTGAAAAGCGTAAGGTAAGTTGTGTAAGGGAGTTGTGAAACATGCATGTTGCGTGAGCTTTGCATAGGGTCGCATTTTCACACGTATAAGACTAGTACACACCTCCCCGTCAAGAAAGGAACTTCAGGGATCATGAGAGGTTTGACACCCTTGGGAACTTGCATTTGCAGGTCAGTAGCAAAGGATGAACCTTTCCCAAGGGTGCTTAGACCTATGCCAAGAGAAGGCGACAAGCCACAGCACTGACGAGTCAAGAAGCTGCTAGCCAGCCAACTGAAGGTTGTATACATCCTTTTCATTTTCATCGTCTTCGTCATCGGAACATGTTGATCATGTGCCTATCGCCAGCTCATCTGCAAAAGGAACTGTCGCGTAGGCATTTCCCTTGGGGGTATGGTTCTCATGTGTGCTCAACGCAGATGCGTAAGATCTGCTTAAGGTCTTCTCAAAAACCCTTCGCGCGCAAACTCGCATTGTGGTCGCGTAAGAAAAGCGTAAGCAGGAGCGACATAGGGGTTTTATCACATGTATTTTGCAGAGCTCATTTGTGCCTGTGAACACTGGAAAGCTAGACTCCCTGAAAAAGATAAAGAGACTGTCATAAGTGTTTTTGGAGCCTTTTTTGATCACTTCAGATTCGCTGGAGTCCTGGTTGACTTGGCAGCTCTGAACCAACGCCAGGGCATTCAGGCCGACTCCGACTTGGAGGAAGAGGTGAGCATTGAGGTGAGCATCGGCATGGTTTGCACCGTATGGGGCGAGATGCGCTCAGCAATGAAGCGATATACATACAATTACATATATATATATGATATTTAGATGTCAGAGTGAGAGAGATCCCAACACGTCCCTGTAAGACAGTGGGTTCGCTTTTGATGTGGTATTGAAACATCACACACAGATATAATATATATATATATATATAAATACATAAGTGTAATATATTGAACCCCCGCCAATCATGGAAGTGGACCTTCTGGCCCCTTGGAAGATGCTTTTCCTCTAGCAAGAGGGGTTGAGCACCACTTTCATGATTGCAAGGAGAGTCATTTTTTGACGGTGTGGAATGATGGCCCACGCTCGCACTCCGCAGGAGACTCCTGGTCCTCCGGGCGATTTTCAGTCCCTCGTGAAGCAGGTGAGAGAGGGGGCGAGAGCAGTCAGTCGACAACTTCCATTTTCACGGGCGAGGTGTATTTGTTGGGGTCTGTTGGGGCCCTTGGTGAAGATGGATGGACATCCATCAACATGATGATGAATGATTTTGGATTATTTTGGGAGGGTTTTATTGGCCATGTCCCAGGGCATACTGTTTGGCAAGTCTGTCCTGCAGATGGAATTGTTCGTTGGGTTGAAAGCAGCACGAACCACTGGTAACAGTGACCCGCGAGGTCTTCCGGCTCTATGCCTCTGGCTACTCCAAGGGTCGTTTCGTGCCTCAGCTGCTGAAAGTGTCCACAGCGGAGAAAATCATGGAATCCTTGGGACATTCCCATGCCGCACACTCTTTGAATAAACAACACTTGCATATACAAAATCGTCGAAGCAGGTGGTCTAAATGGTGGTGCTGGCATTGTCACTTGGAAGAACCATGTGCATATAGCTTATAGCATCTTATAGCTTCTGAGGTACCCGCAGCATTCGTGAACTTGAACAGGATGATGTGTGTGATGTGATCACTTTTGAGGAACGTAGGTAGTGGAGCTTCCAGGTGCAGTTGCCATGACCTGGGATGAAGTGATGGTTCACTGCAAAAGCCTGGAATCAAAACACACCGAGTGACCAGGCTGGTTGGATGTGGACAAAGGTGGACCTTCCTAGAATCTGAAGCCAACTGAGTGCCAGACGGGAACTTCAACACCCTCTCCCACGACCCAAGTGCTGGAGGTCTTCATTCGGAACCCGGATCTGTCACGCTTCATGGAGGACTCCAAGCACATCCTCCCTGGCTTTCGGAAGAGGTTCCGCCGCTTCAGCCCCGTGGCCGGGAATTCCGTGGATGCCATTGTTTTGGGGCCCCGAAAGACTGAGCTAAGCAGTCCACTGGGTGGAACTCTCTCCACTTCCATGTGAAGTCCAGGGAGAGTAGTGATTCATTTGGTCGCCACAAAAGCTGAGCAGATGCTGCAGGGTCAATTTCTTGGCGGCATGATGAGCCCTAAAGACATGCGCTGAAGACACGTATTCGATGGGCATAATGAATTGAGCACCATCCTCAACTTCCCAGCTGTTGCACTAGCTGCTAGATACACATCATCCATCAAATTATGTTAATCATTGTTTTGAAATTATCCATCAATGTAGACTCTTGATTAGTACACCCCCCCCATATGAAGAGGACTTTCCTCTTCAGATGGTGGGGTTGATGGTCCGGGTCTCCATTCACCCGGGATCGATGGAACAGGACCTTCCCGGCGCCTCGGAGCCGCCGCGCTCACCGCTCAGAACGGATCTTCGAGTCGCTCTTCGACGACACCATCCAACTGCAATGCACCTTGGGGGCGGGTCTGTTGAACCCGCGTTGAATGGAGGGATGGTGGTTTTTCCAAGGCCAACATGGAACGAAAGCCGGGAGGGTCTGTTTGGTTGGTTTTGTCTAAAGACCAGCCACTGGTGCTTTTTCCCCAGAGTGATCCATCCTTTCTGTAAAGCAGCTCAGCCGTCTTTCATGTCCACTCATGAACCTTCAACTGCACTCAGCTTCGACTCGTCGCTGCTTCGACAGCACGGCCGCGTCTTCCCTTCGGACCTCCGCCTCGTTGTCGGTCCTTCGACCGCCTCTCAGGCGCCTCTCGGCCCTCTCCGGCTTAGGTGACATGCCGGGTCAAGGCCTGCGTATCACGGCAGGCTTGACGCTGGACGGGCTCACGCGGTCGCGGTCGGCGGTCGCGGTGGATATAGGGAGTGCGATGGGGTTTGACGCGGTTTGGGTTTGGGGAAAGAAGGCTTCTGGCTCAGAGAAGTGAACCAAGTGTGGAACGAAGCTCAGAGACTTCCCCACAGATCGAGACGCGCTGGGGGCTTCTCTGCGATTTCGCTCGCTCGCGAGCGATTTCGTACATTGGACTCTTCACCGCGCGACACCCTGGTGGGTCCCACCAGGACTGGTTCCAAGTCTTCGTTCAGAAGGTGGTTCGGCGCATTGGGATGGAAGTGATGAGCTTCTTCGCAGCTCTTCTGGAATCGCAGCTTTACTAAGCTCAATCCACAGAGACCTGCTGAGAATCGATTATCAAGAGAAGAAGAGCCACAGATGTCATTCAAGATTTCTACATTCAGACCTTGTTAGTGATGACTGGCACAGACTCGTGAAGATGAGACAGAATGCCAGTCCTGCCAGTCCTGATCATGACTGATCCTCAGCATTTGCACGACGCTCGTGCCAAGCACCGAGTGTTCGCTGCACTCGACATATCGACTGCGTTCAACTACTCGCCTTAGGCGAGTTTGCGGTGTCGATCGCAGATCCGTGGGTCTCAAAGCTCCAACGAAAGAAGCGGAGTATGTTCAGCGGAGTTGATTGATTCTTGATATTCCCCACCCCTGCAGTGAAGGGGATCAGCTAGAGCTAGGGTGTGGACCGTTACGCACAACCATTCATGATGTTTTATATGTCGTATGTGTGAATTTCTAGAGATTTCTTGACATGTTGTTCGTGTGAACTTTCAGGATGCTTGAGGGGCTGTTGCTCAAACATGCCGCCACGCGGCTTGCCCCGCCCTTGCGGAGCCACGTGTTAGGTTGAGCAACCCAATAAGATCATGTCCAAATGAGCTCAGTGTGTTTCAAATCTGTGCCCAAAGGAACTGTTCAAGGTTTCTGGATATGCCAGCTCAAAGATGCTCAAAGCAACCAAGGGCTCCAGGAAAAGCAGAAGTAAGAGCCAAAGAGAGATGCGTGAAGAATCAAGACGGCTGGGATCTCCATGGGTTTTCGCCCGCTGCCTTTGAAACCCACTCATGAATGAAGGACAATCCATGGGGCAATTTGTACAGAACATCAGCCTCCGTTGGAAGGCGCCTTCCGCACTTGGGCCACTTGGGCTCGAGATGTTATAAAGATATGCGAAGCATTGCTAAGCACAGGCTGGCTGCGAAGGTCGTTCCTGGGAAGATCCCAGGTATGTTGAGATTCGCACCCGGGCATAGTTGTTGGTGTTTTTCTCCTGCATGCTCTCCAGACTCCCTTGAAGAGCGCCAAAACGAAGTTCCTCAACGGCCCAAAGTTCAAGAGGTCTCAGCAAGGCTTGGTGAATTTTGGTGTTTTATGCCTCATGTTCTCGACAAACATGCTCTTTGGAGAGTCGTCATTGTACAGAACATATGGCCTCCTTTGCGGCGTTCACAGCCGCCTCGGAGAAGGACCGTAGGCGGCGTACGCGCCCTTTCGTTCGGAGCGTCGCACCAAAACGGCAGCCCCAAGGAGATCTGCAGGAGATCTGCAGGAATTCCAGTCCCAACACACAGACATAGTCTGCCAGAATCTGTCAGGTCCCAACCTTCAAGACCTGCAGACAGCAGACACCACCTCAGGCAGTACATGGAAGACATCGCTCGACTCCGGCGTGCTCTAGGCTCACACCAGGTAGTAGGCCGTTTCTGAAAGTGCTTCAGGATGACAATCATACTGCAAGACATGGAAACATGCTGCGCTGCTCTGGGTTTTGGCTCTCCGAGCTCCACCCAGTCGACCAGAAGCCTTAGAGCCTTAGAGGCTAAGCCCTTCAGTCTGGTTAGATTCGGGTAGTGATTGCCGTTGACGCGATCCTTGTGCACCCTTGGGAGGTCATGGGGCAGATGCCACCCGACACAGCAGAGCAGGGAAATAGGATAAAATTTAGATTGAGGATGTCAGAACTAGAGGCTCCAATTACTAATTGCGTTTCCTTTTTCTTTTTAAAGCCCGGCTGCCACCTCAACATCGACCATCCCCCACCCAGCTCGGACACCCCCCATCCCCCAACTGTCACAGGTCAACCCTTCACGACTGGACCACAGCCATGCCACACAAAGCTGCAGCGCCGCGAGCGATGACGTGTTGGAACCTCGGCTGCTGGACGACCGCGCTGGAACAGCTCCGCAGCCCCCAGCGGAGTTGCAAGCCCACCTCGCCGCCGGGCGAAACGGTCAGCAGCGGTTTGGGTGCAAACGGTGAGCGTGGGATAGCGTGGGCAAGGTCGCCAGCGAGGTTGGAACTTGACATGGGATGACATGGGTTGGCACGTCAACCTGGTGGAGGCCACACGCAGATTTTTGCAGCTGGGGCTCGTTTTTTTTCCCGGTTGTTCCACCAAGAAGAAAGGCTCTCTCATCTTTGGTTCGGTTGCCCAGAAGCCTGCCTAAAAAGGCTCAGCATGAAGTGATGACATGTGATTGAAGTGACATCTTCCTTGATACAAAAGGTGGAAGAGGATCCAACGTGAGGCGTATATACAACACCCTGGGATTCCAACAACATCCAACACTTATTTTATGTTATCCCTATAAGGATCTATAAGGCTTCTTTTAGACTACAAAGCCGGGTCAAGCGTTCTTTAAAGGGTCTTTGAAGACGATCGGGTGCATGATGGAAGCGTCCAAGTGATCCGGTTCACCGTTTCCTTTGCCTTTGAGAGACCCAGTAGACTGCATTTGGAACCACCGAAGTAAAGACAAAAAAAGGCTGCTTTCGAGTCATCTTTTGAGTCAGATTCCTTTTAGACAGAGAGAGACTCTCCGGGGAATGACCCGGGGTCCACCTTGGAGAGACCTTTGAGTCGCCGGGTGTGGGGGAAGAGAAGCAGGTTCCGTCTTTCTCAGGCAGCTGATCTCCTCAGTGATCCGGCATCGGATGTTGAGCAAGAGGAAGTCGGAGACCCAGGACCTCCGAGAAAAAACATGGAGCTGAGGAGCAAGTGGTGACTTAGTGGTTCTCGTGCTCGGTTTGGTTGGGGGAACATGGATTTGTACCATTCTGACTGGATGGCTAGTCTTTTTTTGGGGGGTATGGTTCCAAGAGGCCAACACTGCTAACATTCCAGCGAAGAAGAAAGATGCGTCGCTGGCGTCAAACACTTGGTCACCTGAAGTGTGACCGATGTCATCACGATTTTAGGGCACACCACAACTGGAACTGGGGGAACTTCGACCAGTTCGCAGGGCACAAGGTAGGCCTGGAGATCAAGGGGTGATCAGGGGTGTGGTCACCAGTGTGGTCATAAAGGCCCGCTAGTGCTTGCTCAATTCTCAGCTAACCCTCCTGAGCTCAGCTAAGCGCAGCAGGTAGCCACACTCCTGAGTGGTGAAATCGCACAATGACCTAAGAAGATGGTTCTGACGTGAGCTTTCGCAACCTTAGAGATCAACTGAAGAGTGGCCCTTTTGGCCATCCAACACCGTCCCCCCTTTAAGGCGGCGCCTCCACTTGGCGCGACCCGCGACCGCGTCGCGACGCGTGCGCCAGGACATTCACTCCCTACTTTTGTGTCCGGATCCTTCCAGACGACTCGATCGCTCCTACACCGAGCCTCAACCACTGGGACATGGCGGATTTGGCCAGGTCTTTCGCATGAAGCACAGGACGACGAGAGAGACGACTTGGGACGACGACGGCTTGGGACGAGGGAAGTGGGGGGTAGGTAGGCATGAACACGGCCGGGCGCAAGACGAAACCGCTTCTTTGGGCCTTGAGTGAGTGGTGATTCTGTGGATTCCTTTGGATTGACATGAGTGTTTCAAACCACCGGGAAAGAGATGAAAAGAGAACAGGTCCATTTCTTGCTGGCTTGCGGCGCTGCGTCCTGGCCAAAAGCCGCCTGCGCATGTCTGAACCAAAGATCTCGAGCAAAAGGAACCTCAGATGAGCTTCCCTGGTTGCTTGGAGACCTTACTATTTGAGAGGTAATACAATATAGTCACATGCCGTGATTCCTCTCAGCAAGTGCTCTCTACAAGCACAGATATCGAAGCCGGCAGGCTTGATCCGCATGTCGGCTTCGGGTTGGCCTGACTGGACCGACCAGTCAGGAGGACACTCATCCAACAGACTGTTACTTGGATCCATTCCTTTGGATCCATCCATTCCTTTGGATCCATTCCTTCAGACTCATTCCCCACGGACGCACAGCCAGCCACACGGCCACACGGCCTCCCCCCAAAGATCTGTTTCGCAGAGCCGAAGAGACCAGCGACGATAGTGATGGGTCAGAATTTCTGACGTTGGCCGAATGGCTTCGGGGCAGGATGAGCGGAGAAGTGCGAGCGATCAAGGTGATTGCAAAGCCCTCCTGCCTAGATGAGCTCCAAACGGTTTCAAATGAGGCCAGCGAGAGGGAGAGAAGCGTGTACTGTATAGACTAGAATGCTACGTGTGGGTGCTAAAGTTGAAGGATGGAATTGAACGGGTGTGGCAAGTCAGTTCTTGGAGAAAAGTGTGCACGTGCATGGAATGTTCCTTGAACACACGCAGAAGCTTTCACTTGGTGTGCTGTTTGATGGCCAGTTGATTTGAACCTTAGCCCAGGAGCCTGTTGAACTAAGCTGGCCAAGAGGGTGAGCCCCAAACTCCCAACCTTGCCCCTTTGCACTTCCTTCATGGCAGTGGTAGAGAAGGACCGACAGGATACATGTGTGGAAACATGAGGTAAGCCACGTTGCTCGCTCATGTGAAGTGGAACACCCGCATGTCATTGTGTTTTGTTTTGTTTTGTTCAATTGACTGGCGTACCTTGGAGCACCCTCATCCAGCGGAGGTCTATGCCCTCTTGCAACTGGATCATCTTAACATCGCCAAGCTCTTCGAAGCCTTGCTGAGAGTTGTTTTGGACGTTTTTCTTCGACGAGAATGCGACATCTCTCACCCAATGGCATGTTGGGAACGCCTGACACGAACCATGGACCCCTGAACAACCGGATTGCACAAGAACCTGAAATGGTCCACTTCGCTTTTCGGGGCATAGATTTTCTGTTGCGTTAACCATGCTTTGAGGACATCCACCGTTTGTAGCAAACTGGGATGTGTTTCCCTTCCATATGTTTGCGTTTTGGGCCGCGCAACCTCATGTTCTGGGATGAGAACATGCTGCTGATCAGAGTTCTGGCCTGAACGGCCCTGAACCCGCTGAAGACGTGGGTTTGGGTCTTGCCCTTGCTATCTCATGTTCTATCTCCCGTTGCGCATTTTGCTTGGCACCCTGGCAAGGAGCCAAAGCCTCCAGTCCTTCAAAAGACCACCTCCATCCCCTGCCATTGCCAGCCCACGGCCAACTATAAGCACCCCAATATCCCAAAGTCACCCCACCGACCAGTTCGGGTAAACTCGACACTTCTGCCACCCCCGCGGTGGCAGCGTGGTTTCTGGTTTTCCGCTGTGGTGTTCACCTGACTCTTCACCGGCCGAGGAGTACTTCGAGGACAAAGGCTCCATCTACGTGGTGACCGAGCTGTGCGAAGGCGGAAACATCGGAGAGTTGGATCCCATGGAGGATGATTCGGATGAGATCAGGCGACGTGATCGGAGTGATTGGGACCGTGGACCCGCGAGGGTTTGGGTCACTTGCGGTGGTACTTTTGGTGGGAGAACGGAACTGCTGCCAGAGGCCGCCAGAGTGTGTGTAGTAGTTTTTTTGGGTGTGAAGTAAGTTAGATCCAGGAGAGTCAGGATCATGCTGATGCCAAGGACTGCATAAACCATCATAAACCCCGTAGGTGCTATTATGCTCTTCTACGTGAGGCCATCCAACCCCGGTGCTTAAAGCTTGATGACCTTGAAGTTTCTTCACGACCACCAATTTTGAGCAAGCTAATTGAATATTTGGCACTGTCAGGGTGGAGGTTCCCCACCCCACCCACACCCACTTATCTGTCACCACGGTCACCGGGTGGCCACCCTCGACCGGAACGCCGCACGGAGGTTACTCTTCCGCGATGTGGCACGGGCCATCGCGCCGCTCGGAGGGACCGTCCACGGCGGAGTGCTGAGCGGTACAGGCGGTACGGTGCCCATTTCGGGTGGGTCACCATCTGGAGCGTGTGTCAAATCTTGAAAGAAAACACCTAAAAACACAGTATACTCAGTATGCAGTCTGGGGATTGTGCCTTCTAGTCTCAATCCGCTATGAAGCCTATACAGGGGCAAGTCTTTGAGAAGCATTCGCCCAGACGCCCACATTTCATCACATGCCAGGCCGCCGTCGACTCCATATAAAATGTTTTACAAGGTTTTGGCACCCTCTGAGCATGCTAGTCACTCTAGTCCGAGGAATCAGCCGTTTTTCATCTCTGTGCCCACTTGCTTCACGTCTTCTGGTTGTCATGATTTAATTTCAGACTTTGAATTTATTTATCACTTCCACAGCATTTCAATCAGGTGATTCTTCCGCTTTCTTCTTGTTACTTCTTCAGTTGCTTCTTTGGGCACCGGACAATTCCCATGCATTGTCCAGACTTCCTTATCCCGACCTCCACGCCTTTGCCAATCCCAACCTCCGCTCTCTCTCTCTCTCTGCCCAGAGCCGGACCCCTTCCGATCCATTCCAACCAAACTCTCCGCCTTCCTACGGCAACACCCACCGCCACACTCCGGTTCCGACCTCTTCGCTTTCGGTCCAAACATCGTTCGCCGTTTCTAGCGGCTTCTTCAGAACCTCCCATCCCGGGAGAACCGGATTCCTTCGGATCTGAGGTACTGCCATTCCGAAGGAATTGCCCACCGAGACCTGAAGTTTGACAATTGCCTCCTGGCGCACTGCAACGACCGGCGCCTGGGGCGCATGGCCAAGGTCATCGACTTCGGCCTCGCAGGCGCCCGAGCACCGGACGGGGCGATAGAGCGGACGCGGACGCGGAGGCGCCGGACGCGGACGTGCCGGGGGGTTGTTTGGTTTGGTTTGGCGATGTGCTCAAGGAGTTTAGCCATGCCAAGCTCTACTGTAGTAGTCGTGTAGGATCTTTGGAATTCAACGATTTGATCGTCGAGAAGGCTCCGTTTAGATGCACCAATCGGCCAAAGTCAGCACCACACTCCTAAGCACAGCTTGCCCACGCGTGCTTTTCAACGCCGTGAAGCGTCTGTTCGAAGCGAAGCGTCTAGAAGTAGCTGCGCCGTGGCTAAGCCGAGGCTTTTTGCAAGCCGGAGTACCAGGAGAAGGGGAGCTCGAAGGTGTGGTCGGGACCTTGTACTTCCTGGCGCCCGAAGTTCTGAAGAGCACAGACCCTTTGAACAGCTACGGCGCCTAGCTGTTGAAAAGCGATGTGAGGGGGGAGAGCTGATTCGGAATGCCTAGCTTAGCCAGGATGATGGTGAGTGGTGCTCACAAAGAAGGTATTTGAACTGGTGAGTTTACGGATGTTGATGCATCTTGCCCCTGTTTGACACCACTCTTCACCCACCGGTGGATGCTTCTCTTGGAAGGGGATGATCTCATTTCACATGGTCTGAATGGTGGTGGCACCCGGCCGGTCGCGTTTCAGAGAACCGAGCGGATTCCGGTTGGACGTCCGGACGGTCGGGACGTTGACCTTAGAAGACCAGTGCCGAAAGAGGGACAGAGTCTTCAGTTGACCTTAATTGAGCCTGATCATCACCATCTAGAGACGAACTGCTGCCAGCCGCGTCGCGTTGAGACGAACGAAACCTCGCCACGGAAACCCATGGACCTTGGGCTCGCTACCGTGTTCCGCCGCCCCGGCCGAACTCGCTTCGCCCGACCTGGTCCGGCTGAGCTGCGAACCGGGTCGCGTCACGCAGCTGCTCGCGGGGTCGAGGCTTGGAGTGTGACCTGTGGTCTTTTGGAGTCATGCTCTTCGTCGTTCTCACCAACGAGCAGCTCCGTTCGGAGCGGGACCGTCCGACGTTCCGTTGCACGCCGCGCGGGACGTTGGCGCGAAACGGGGGGACGTGCCTCAACTGGGGCATCGCTAGCCATCAAGAGGAAGGTCAGACGGGCATGGAAACAGGAGTCGTGGTTCAGTTTGGTTGTGTAGATTGGACTTCGCACCGAAACATGTGCACACTCTGTATGAGTGTGTATTGTTGCAAAGAGGGAACCATCCCAAAGATCTCCTGGAAGAAGGGAATTAGACCAAAAACTCGTCATTGGTTGGGGGTCTCCCCATTAAAATGCACACCCACATCTTTCTGCTATGTATAGTGCGGTGATCTCATGCCATGGAACACGTACTTCAATCGGGGGGGTCCACCTGTTTCAATCGGTGATAAGTTATCGTGTTCGGTGGCTATTGGCGGGACGAACGAAGATGACGTGTTCCTAGCCTTTCACGCAGGTGGAGTGCCCAGACTTGGCACATTCCGTGTTTCCCCTCGGAGTCACACCGTGTTCCGGACATTTTGTTGATATGTGTCCCAGTTCTATCAGGAAGACATTTCTAGGATGGCCCGAAGTCGCCACTTTCCCATCGTAAGAGGGCTCCGATGCTCCGCGAGCAGCGCATGTCCCAAAAGCCTGAGATGGGAGCTCAGGCACCCCTTTTGCTCTACGGCCTCTGGCCCAGAAGTTGCCTGGCAGTGCTGATCAGTCGTTTCGTTTTGGTGCCATATGGTGTCATGGTTTTGCTGGTCCAGGGCCTAAGGGGATGATTGATTTTCAATGGTTTTCCCATGTTTTCCCTGTGGGATGGAATCCCCTTCTGGGGAATTCTGGTGACTATGTTTCTTCTATTTCCAATGAAACGAGTCGAGTGTATGGTGAAGTCCTTGTCCTGCAACAATTGTCTCTTGCTTCAACTTGCTTCCACTGTTTTCCACTGCCCCACCCTGACCCCCTGAGAATTATTGAGGATTGTCTTCACCTTGCTACGGTTTCTGACACCCGGATCTTCCCCTACATGCCCAAAGAACCCCAAATTATCAGAAGGCAGCTTTCACATCTTTCACTCCCAAAGGACGCGCGTGGAATCGCCAACCCCTGAGGACGCCTACCGTCGAATCGCCAATGGCTGCCTCCGGCTCTCCTGTTTGCGGAATGCTGGGGCACTGGCCATTGAGGCAGAAGACCTTCTTCGATCGCTGCTGGTCCCTCTTCGATCACTGCAAAGCGTTTTTGTTCGGAGTGGGGTGGCATCAGGAGGTTGCCCACGCAGGTTTAGAGCGAACGCGGTCACATTGCATGGACCCCGGCTGATGCTCCACGTTATATACTGGGCAGGAGGCACTGGAACGGGGCGAGAGTCATTCGAGATATCTGCCTTCAGTTGACTTGCGCCACGATCCCTCTCAAATTCACCACTTCACAAGCCCGGGCACGTTCGCCTTCACTGGACCGGAAGCAACCGGGACCGGGTCGCTCGTGGCCTCAAGACCCAACAGAAGCGCCCGGCCGGAGCGGAGGTCGGCCGAGCACAAGCTGAGATAGACAGATAGACCGACAGACCGACAGAATTCATATATCCTATGCGCTCCATGGGACTGCCTGCGCTCCATGGGACTGCCATATATGATCAGAAATGCCGCCCCATTGACCCCCACAACCACCCCTGGCCGTTTCTCGGCAGTCCATGGCAGTCCCATGGAGTGTCTGGGTATTACGGAAAGAAAGAGCGACCACCCCCAATTGAAGGAATGGAAGGTTGGACCAAACATCAATGACTTTTTGTACCTTTGCCTCAACGAATGACGTGATTCCTTAACCATTTCACCCAAAGAACGTAAATCTCCGGGTCCATCCAGCTCGTCCAGCTCGACCATGCTCAACTCGCCCGCCGGGCCCAGGTCAAGGAACCCTTGAATCGTTGCTCTGCGGCTGAAGCCTTGGTTCACCCCTGGCTGCAGCCGGAGTTGGAGACGCCTGCGAGCCCCTCCTGCAAGCCCGAGCAGCTCCGAAGCGGGGGGGCCCTGGGCGCGGCGCGACTGGCACCTCCAAAGCCACAGGGGGGGATGGAGTGGCTGTGGAGTGGTCTGAGTAGGAACAGTATAGTGGTTGTATAAGTGCAGACTTAAAGGTGCTTAGGTTTATTTGAATCAGTGTTTGATCAGCCCTTTCCAGCTTGCAAGTTGGGATCTTCATTGTTCTCCACGAGCCGCTGCTTACGCTTCTTATCCTTCAGTTGTCTATCCTTGCATTTCTCCAAATCAGGACGCAATGTTGCTGTAGCGTAGCAAGGTGACGATCTCAAGGTTAGGTCAATTTGGTCAATTTTGGGCTCAGGCCGGCAGCAGGTCAACATGGGGGCCGAAGCATTGACCCACCGAAAATGGAACAACATAGAGGACACCGGGCGACCCACCAAAAACGGAACTCCAGGGTTTGACCCGCAGCCAGTTGTTCGTCGTCTTCGGTCCTTCACCCCCCCGCCCTCACGGATGAAATCATGGCACCTCCCGAAATCTGGGAGCTGCGGATGAAATCAGATGATTCTCGTTGTTGGTTGTGTCAGGTTTTTGTCGTATGTGGTGAATCCTGGTTGTTTCCTTCTCATCCTTATCAGATGAAATCATCTGGTACCTTCCTGCTTCTTCCGAACATCGATTCTGCCTGTCCGAGCCGTTCGCCGCGCCGGCTCGGCCCACCCGTGCCGGGGCTTCGCGTGCCCGGCCGTCCAAAGCGGCTCGCCGGGTCGTGCAGGTTTGGTGGAGCGGATCAGCTCCTTCAGTCGCTTCAGCAAGTTTGAGCAGGCGATCCTCACCGTGGCGGCACACGAAGCGAAGCCCAAGGATGTCGAGGAGCGGGGAAGTCAGGCGGTGGGAGGGTCAAGAGTGGAGGGGGGTGGCAGGGGGAGGTCGGGGCGTGGAGATTCAGCTGGTGAGATCTATTATGGTTACTAATGTTACTATAATATCTTGCCGATCTTACTTTATTACATCATATAGTATAGATGTTTCGTTTTTGTGATATTTGAGATGGTGGAGGTTGGCGTTAGAAGCTGGGACGGCCTATAGGATCCTATATTGAAACAAAAAACGCTGCTTTGCTTGAAATTCTCATGGGGTCACATGCAGAAATCCTTGGGACATAGCACCTCATGGACCTTCCATCTTCCAATGTTGGATGGGAGCATCCATATTGTACACAACATTGTCTACTGGATGGCAGTTCATCAATTGGCCCTATCCATCTCGGTCAATCGGACAATGTAATGTAACATCAGACTCCATCCCAATTCCCACTCAACGGATCCTTGCCATAGATATCCTTCTGCCCTCGCTCGCCTCCAGGAGCTTCAACAAGTCTTTTCGGCCCTCGACCTGGCGCAAGCAGGCGAGCACCCCTCCGGTCAGTTCGGGGCTCGCTGAGAGACGATTCGCGGGGTCCCCACTCAGCGAGGTTCAGGTTCCAATTCAGCGATTCGGTGGGCGTTGATGGCTGGCCACTGGTTGGGGCTGCGGGATCTGGGATGAACGATGGAGTGCTCGTTTTCCACCCCAAGTGCCATAAGTATACCATGGTGCTGGCGTCCTGTACCCTCCGCATGTGCAGCAATGTGCAGCAATACAGTCTCAATGTTTCACTTGGGATGTTGAAGGCTTGGCAACTAAAACTTGGGGCATCCCTGTAAATACGACCTCCAACAGCAACTCCAACCACAGCCAGGGCCAAGACAAGGATGCAAACCAACCTGAGTCCTTGCAAGCCTGCAGCACCTGATATCAGTGAAAACACTCCTTGACCCCTCTGAAAACTTCCAGAGCCAACACGAATTGGAATTATAGGATTGAGAGTAGGTGGCACAATCCCCCCAAAGTGGTCGTACGCACCCCCATTCGAAGGACATCTTGGGGTTTGTGCCATTTATTCTGAAATCGCACTTCTTGTTGAAATCAAAGTGATTCCATGGACACCCTATTGACACCCTCAACACTACTGTATCAGAACCACTCTACAAAAGTAAACCCACCTTGGGATCCATTTTGGTCATCTTGCATCCCACAAAAAAGCACGCCAGTGCTTACGCCTATTTGGGCATATGTGCGGAATTCACCACCTTTCTTTCTACGCTCCACCGCGCCAACCACCGACCCGACCTCCGCCCCCACCGACCCGACCTCCGCCGTCGACCGGTGGTGCAGGTTGGATCTCCCGGGACGACCTGCGGCGAGCGCTGAAGATCTGCGACGTGCGGCTGTCGAAGATGGAGACCGACGCGGTCCTGGATTGCTTAGATGCAGACCAAGTGCCTGGGCTGAAGTGGATGGGGTCGGTCCTGGTGGAGTGGAGGATGGTTTGGGGTTCTTGGAGGTTGCCAGCGGTCAGTGGAGAGTGCCATGAGCCATGTAGTGTTGGTTCGTGCATCTTCGGGCGCACGAAAGCTCACCGCCTGGGGCCTGGACAGTCCATGAGAGTCCGTAAGCGTGAGGGGTCCGGTCGGAGCTCGGAAGTGCGCAGGGAAGAAGGCTCTACTGTAATTAGTTTCAGGGGCCCAGACAGAAACTTCATCAAACCACACCACTTTGTACAGTCGTTTTCAGCGCCTTTAGTTGCCCACCCAGTCGTTTTCAGCTTTCACGCGCATCAGCTGAGGATGGGAAAATACAGCACACCGACTTCTTGGCAGCCACCCTCAAGCCAGCCCATGTGAAGTCAGAAAAGGTGCAAGTGCAGAAAGTGGGCAGTTTGAGAACTTATGCTGGGGCAACATGGGTTGATGGTCGGATTTAGCCACTCAGTCATGCCCAGCTATGCCAAGAATCCTGCATGACTTGGTCGCACAACACACCTTTCAACTACGCAGTTGTGGGATTTGAACCTGAATGCAAGCTTAATACAAGAGGTCCTACCTTCAAAGGTGAGGATTCAAATACTCCCAGTGCAGAGTACATGGCTTAGGTTTTGGCACTTTCTGGTGCCATCTGCTCGTTTCCAGATATAGCCATTTATTCTGAAAGCGGTGTATAAATATAACCCATTTGACCTCTGTTTTGATAGGAATTTGCCATCTTTTGGCTATTTGGTGGTCCAACATAGAGGTCACGACCAGGTTCTGGGTATATATTATCATTCGTAGGTGTCCTTGCGAGTGGATGGTGAAGCAACCATCTGACATTGTCGGGTCCCATCTCTTGCTCGTTCCGCGGACCGGGCGGGCGGACGGGCGGAGGGCGGTGACTGGAGGTTTGAAGCGTTCAAGATCGTTCTTCAGAAAGGTGGGAATGACTGGTCTACGGTCTACTGGTTGGTGATGGTTGGTGGCTCAACCATTGGACCCGGCAAGTGACACATAGAACCTGAAAAGCAACCACTGGAAGGACATGGAAAGACTATGTGACTATGTTTGCTTTACACCAGAACATTTCAGTTGAACTTACCCTGTGTACTTGGCATGATTCATCCCCGTTTCAGACTCGTTCCTTCAGGGGTGGGCCGAAACCACCTTGAAATCCAACCCATCCTGCGCCACGGACTCGTGCTGGCGTTGGTGGTCGGAGGTTCTGGAGGAGCTCTTCAATTTCTTCGACTTCCAGGGTACGGGGCACATCACCCACGAGGATTTGAAAGCAGTTTTAGGTCAGGACCTGGCTTGCCATGTGGCGGTGCAAGCACGCGCCAATGCACAGGGCGTCATTTCCCAAGAGAACTTTAGAGCCTTCATCCTGAAGGAAGCTCGGCTTTGCTCGGCTCGCCGGTAGGCCCGTCACTTGGGGCGAGACGGATCCAGCCGGCCAGATCTACACTCTCCGAGATGTTCAGTTATTCTCTTCCCTTTTTCTCGCCAATGGCACCTGACCATCACAGACCTCTGGAGAGCGGAGCCCAGCGGAGCAGAATCCATCCGTGAACCCCCGGCGAAACCTCTTGAAACCAACAGGTATCCCTACTAACCAGTTTGGAGGGTTATGGCTATGGCATCAGGAGGGTGGAGTTTTCAACGCACAAGGCTTGAAAAAAAACGCGGCTGCCCTTTGGTTTCATGAACATGACACGCACCGAACCCAAACGACCTCCCCAAACACTCCCTGACCATCCATGCGAATCGGACGAATTGGAAGGTGGGTGGCCCAAACCTGTTCGATCGGTCTTCTACCAAGCTGATCGGTGTTGGCCATAGTTCCGATGTTCTCAGGTGTCCTCCGGCATTGGTTCCGAGCATCCATGGGACTGGCAAGAGTTACATACCATTTGCCCCATGTATGACCCCAAGGCAGACAACTACTGCGTATAGCATCATATGAGCCACGGTCAAAACATGCGAAGACCACTTTAGTAAAGAGGGGTAGGTTTGTGCACAAAACCCTGCAAAACGATAAGGTCCACCTCAAAACCGATAACCCCAGCGCTGTATATGATCATAAGTATGCGACGAACTCAAAACACTGTAAAACGATAAGGTCCAACTCAAAACCGATGACGTCCATTTTTTGTTGAAGAAGAATAAGGAGTTTTGACCGTCCCTCATATATATCTATGATTTGAAGTTTTGACTTCGTGACCAGTGGCACTGTTCTTAGAAACCTCACATGTGGAATGTCATGGGTTCGAATTCGAGGCGATGAACAAGTTGGAGCTGCAGATTCAGAATGAGAAATCTTTGGCCGCGATGATGGTCCTCTGATGAAAGCACGAACCCTTGTCTCTCCAACGGGTCCCTGATGGTACTCATGAAATTCGTGAACATGATGATCGAATAGCAACTCTCTTAGGTTCAACTGTTTGACAGGGAGTTCCGGGGACTCGTCGGATGAGAGTACAGGACACCCAAGCTAGTTAGTGGCATGCAGTGGTCATGGATTTAGAATAAACCAGGCCACTCGTCTTGCCGATGTTCTTTTGCACGTCTGGGAGTTGAAATTCTTGGCGCAATTCTTTTGGACGTAGTTTTTAGGTCAGATCAATCAGGACGCTCACTGTCCGTTTCCATGCGTTAGACAGGCGCCTTCCGCTCCCTCAACAGAAAAGGCGCTTGCCAGCTGTGCTGTGCTGCGGGAAATGCAGGACATGAAATGATAAAAGAAACACCATATATGTAGTCGTATCGTATATGTATATGTATATATACACCTTATATATATATATTGCAATATATTATATACATAATTACGTATGTATAGATATAGAATTTTAACATAGACATCGACCACCTCCGAACCTGAGAACCGACTGATTCGATCCCCGTGAGGAACGGTTGTTTGGAGTTTTGCTCCGCTGTAGACTGAGGGGGCAGACAGAATGCCCCGGACACTGCCCCGGACATGTGGTGTAAGATTGGGAAGATGGCCAGCCATATCACCTGAAATTCCTGTGACCACCGAAATTGATTGAAGCACCGACATCATTGATGAGGGAACACCTGTGGGCCAGGCTTCACAAGTATCACCAAGTATCACAAGAGAGAGTGCAACCATTCAAAATGAATAGAGCACATGGGAGAGAGGGATAGAGAAGGCGCATCATCGAAGGCAATAATCCAAGATCCATGGCAAGTTCTGAGTGGATTCCACCAGTGAAGCGAGTACTCCTCCAGCTCCGTCGCAACGCAAAGAGAAGCCACTGATCTTCCACTCCTCAACCACCAGGCTGCTTTTGGGGTGCCAATGGAGACATTCTCCGACCACCAGCGGTTGATTGTTGAGCCGCTGAAGACTCGGGTGCTTCTTGTGGTCTTCATGGTGTGCGGAGTCACTGCGTCACTGCGGCAGTCTCTCCGGTTTCCGCTCAGGCCGAATGCGTGAGCCAGCGCGGACACCACAGCCGCCGCGAAAACGAAGGGAGCCGAAGAATTTCGCCGTGAGGTCAAGGTACCTCGTGACCTCCTAAAGGATTCACAAGTATTCACAATATTTTCATATATATATATGTTTGTATTGCATTCGCAATGTTCAACAAAATGTCAATCATGCTTGGGGTTTTGTCACTTTTACGAGACCTCTTTTAGCTTCTTCTCTTGATTTCTCTTGCAAAGTCCAAGTCTGAGTCCCACAAAGCCCCAATCCGTTTCGCACCCATCCATGATCCCAATTTGGTTCGGAACCAGTCGTCCAACCGAGTCCACCGGTCCGCGGTCCGCAGCGGTCCTTCTCCGCACGCGGAGAGCGGAAAGAAAGGGGTGCCACCTTCCGTTTGGGTCGCACCAAATGATGTAACGGTGTGTATGTTGAATAGGAAGACCCAAAACCCGGGGAAGGTGGTACCAAATGGGAGACACTGATGTTGCGACCCAAACGGGTTGAAGACACTGATGAGACACTGAGACACCTGGCTGTGGTAGACTGGATTTTCCTTCGTTGACTGGGAGCTTGGTCGCCCTATTTGAGCTACACATCCGAATGCCAAGTGAAAGATCTGCAGTGAAAAGATGAGGGTCCGAAGACAGAGCTCGGCAAGTCGCTCGGCAGAGCCTAGAGATGTGAAGCCTGGAGCGTTTTGCGGCGTGGGCGGCGTTTGTGGCGTTTGAGGCGTTGCCTGGCCTTGGGGCCACCAGTTGAAGTGGAAAAAAGGAGGGGTCACTACAGCTGGGCTGAAGGGCAATGTTCGTATTGTAACCGATTTGACATGATAATTGTCCAATGTGTGCTCCAGCATTGTAGCATGAATCCACCTGGGGTTTGGATCATGACACTTTGCGCAGTGCACGCATCCTTTGTGCGCCACATAAGTTGGGCATAGCATTGTGTGCGTTGGCTCTTGGCACAAGTTTCAGACCGTGGATGGTGGTGGGTGAGTGCGGGTGACAGCATCGTTCAGGCTGCCACAGACAAGCACTTTCTAAACATGGGCAGTCGTTCTGGCATGCGGGAAAGCAGAGTTTCCCGAAGAGGATGAAACTACGCAGCCGCATTTTCCACTTCCAGTTCCCTTTTGGGACATCCAGCGGATTATTTTCAAGGAATTGTTCACTGCCCCCCTCATGTCCTGCCTGATTTTGAGGCTGTCGAATCAGTGGCATGGGGCATCGGGAAACATACCCGCCTGGGCTGAGCACAGGAAGTCAGAGTAGCTCTCCGGGTTTGCTTGCAAACTCAAGAGCTCTCATTGTTTGTGTGACGCATAGATCTTGGTCTCTTCTATTGCCTGTAACAGCCAGTAAACAATTTTCGCTACCTTTTGAACGAGGCCTTTACATGCCTTTACTAACCATCATCATCCACTGTTACTGGTAATAGGATAGACCGATAGACTCAACTAAATCATCATGAATCAGTGGTTCGCCTAAGAAGGGTCGTCGCCAAGGCTTCATGCGTTGCCAACATTCTTCAGTTGCAAGCGGCGCACAGCTGCAGTGCCCACCTGGTAGAGGGCCATGGTCACTGGTCATCTATGCATGTCTGGGCTCTACTGAGGGAGCTCCGCCAATGTGAGTTCCTCTTTGGTCTGTCAGCTCGGTGCAGACGTCGTAGGACAGCCGCTTTCAGCCCAGGCGGGTTCGGAGCAGACGTCTGAAGAATGCATGTTGATCTTGGTTTTGCTTAAGCATACGTATACCGTATACTGTAATGATATATATATAATATACAGTTTATAAGCGATTATAAATTAGCTATTCGTGAATAAATGGTTTCTTATGGGTGAATCTCCTTCAAGGACATATTTCAAAATCTTTTCCCACTTCTGAAGCAGCAAATTCAAGTGAAGGAACGATTTCGCCGCGGAGGGCTGCCAAACGTCGTGGCCCTTCGCGGATCGCGATGAACGCCTGCGTCGAAAAGAACGGCTGGACTTGAGGCTGGGAGGTGGGTAAGCCCACCTTGGGGAGGAACAAGAACACACCTGGGAAGAGACCCACATGGAACCTGAAATTTGACATTTGGAAGACTTTTTTCCTCTACAACCTCGTGGTTTTCAGGTTTACAGAGAGGTCCGAGATGAGGTGAAGGAACTCACAGGTGATATTGGCTCAATCATGTGCGCGCGTCACTCAAAAAGATGTACCAACTGGGGGTGGCGGGTCGACTTCTACACAAATTCCTGGTAGCGAGGTAGTTGTTTTTCTTGAATAAGGATCCCTGAAGATGGGTGCAAACAAAAAGAATGACAGATGCAAAGTTAGTGCCAGCAGCTTACAGCTTGGGTTGTATGGATGATTCATTACGAAAGCCAGCCTTCGTAGAAGGCACCAGCTGAGTTGTGTTTGGCGAATGAAGTGAGTAAGTAAGTAGGGGGTCTGGGGCGGGTGGCCTGAGAAAGCACTACGTAAACTCGAAAGTAGGTGGTGGAGAGGGGTGTGCGGAAGTAAGGTTTTTGAGGTTGTGTTGGAGGTGAGTTTTTGTGATTTTTGAGTCGGTGGTGATGCAAGAAATGCAAGTGGCATAATTTGCATCATCTGAATGGTAAGGTGTAGCTGGCGCCTTGCCAGGTATAGATACCCAGGGTAGCTACAATTCAGTGAC